ATGCAGAAGTGGCCATTTCACCTGATTCATAGATTTGGAAGGAGCTCTCGTGGCTGGAGTCTCACATTAGTCGAGTTTATGGCAAGGAACACATTGCGCACATTAAATGAAGACAGCCCACTTCTCTGAGTAATTGGTTTCTCCATTAAACGGCTCTGGGGATATTTTCCCCCTAACAATCGAACAGAATGTGCCATCCTGCAGTGGGAATCCATTCTTTTATCGGCTTCAGTCTCCTAGATGTTCAGTGGGACGGAGAGAGGGCCGAGCCCCAAGGGACCCCACAGAGCAGGGGGGCCCTGCTAGACCTCTCTCCAGCCCCGTCGCCGACTGGAACTGGCCCTGGAGAAGGGAGGAGAACCACTTTTGGTGGTCCGGCAGGAGATCAGGATCAACGATATCAAAACCCTCCAAGAGATCAAGGGGTGGGTAGGGTGGATGCCCCACGCCCTCTTGGTCTTGCCACAGGTCATCTGCAAGTGCAATCCGTGCCATCTCAATACTATATCCCAGTCGGAAACCCAGCTGAGAAGACCATCTTCTCAACAGTCTTCCCCAGAAAGAGGAGCTTAGAGACAGGGCAGAAATTATCCAGTATTGTTGGATCCAGCAATGTCTTCCTGAGGAGGGGCAGGCCACCCACTCCTCCAAGGCGGGTGCAACCCCCTCCCCCTACTCAAAGATGGATTCACCACACGTCTCTCCCAGAAATCCTTCCGAGGAGGATCAAGGTTTAATACACCGACGGCCACACTTACGGCACGGAGAATCCTGTCCACTTCTAGGTGGCACCTGTTGGGGAAGATGATGATGACAACGATGATGATGATGTTTTTATCCTACCTTTTTTATATATAACTCAAGGCAGCCAGCATACCTAATACTCCTGCCTCTTCTTTTCCCCACAACAACAACCCTGTGAGGTGGGATGGGCTGAGAGAGAGGGACTGGCCCAAAGTCCCCCAGCCGGCTTTCATGCCTAAGGCTAGACTCGAACTCACCGTCTCCAGCTTTCTAGGCCAGCATCTTAGCCATGACGCCAACTGGCTCTCTAGAAAAACTATAAAAAATGAGTAAGAAAACAAATGAAATTCCACTGTTAGATTCAAGTGGACTGTCCAATCCACCATGTCTGTCTTCAAGCTTTTTTTTTTCTTCTTAAATACTCTCCCTACATTTTCAGGGTTTGGATACTAAGCTGGCTTGTAGCTTTATGCACCTCTGGGCCATAATCCCAGAAGACCAAGACCTGCCACTTTCTGAGAGTTTGCAGAACTAATCTGTTTCACTTTCTCTGGCTTTTGCAACCACTCCAAGCTGGTTAGCCCAAACCTTTCACTTGCTTATCTATTTATTGCCCGTCTGCTTTTCTTGATTTCTCCATTTCCGGTTTTTAAAAAGCCTGGCTGGAACCGAAAATATAATAATCAAATGACCCAAACCCAGAATTGCCTGTGGTTAAAAAACAAAAACACAGAAACAGCCAAGGGAGCAAATGGTTCCATAAAAGGAACTTTAGAAAACAACAGCTGCAAATGAACCGGAGTCACAAAGATGGTCAATTAAAAAAAAAAAAAAGCTTATAAAAACAGCTCTTTGGAGCCTTAGTTCCCTGTACCCTCCTGGATGCAAAGCTGAAGCACCCTCCAGCCTCCCAGAACCAGAGACGGGCATTCGTAAGCATCAGGCATGCCAATGACGCAGGCGTGCCAGGAAGACACTCTGGTTTCGTCTTGAGTGACTGCATTCACACAACATGCTTAAATTGGTGACTGAATGGAAGTATCTGTGGTATGTCTGAAAAATGGAACCCGGGCTGTGTGCAAAAGAAGGACGTAGGAGGGATGACTGAATTTTAAAAAATGCTCCCTGGAAGTGCGGGGGGGGGGTGTCACTGGTGCAATGCTTGGCTCACCGGATTGAGATCCCGGTTTGCACAGAATTGCAGAAGTGTGCTTGGGGTCCAGCTGACCACCATGCATGTATTTACTCGCTTGCTTGATGTTCGCAGAGTTTCCCTTAACAAAGGACTCTCCGCGGCTCACGTTCTTCCTTCAGCACTCAGAATGAAATGCACAGGACCAACTGCAATAATAATGAATCTGAAACAAAAACAGAAAAATTTAGTGCGGGGAAATTACACCCTCAACACCCATTTTCCTGTAGCAGGAGCCATTCCATCTTACAGATCCCAAAGGCTCCACGTGGCCCATGACCCTCTCAAAATTTCTCTGTTTTCCTATTTATAGAAAACACTCTCCCAAGGAACACTCATTCATCTCCTTCCCTCACTTTTCCAGCCTTTATGTATCGCTTGCAACGGTTCGCACCATTTTCCCTGCCTGTCAGCCCTTTGAGGTAGGCCAGGTCAAGAAACACACACCACAAGGATTCCAGGACTGCTGTTTTATTGTGGTAGTTTATTAATAGTATCTTGAAAGCTTATCCCCAACTTTCACTGTCCCCTTTTTAAGGACAGCAAGGTAGAGGTGGGGCTGTTCTGAGTTTCTCACACTTTTGACTTTCCCAGAGCCAAGGAACCATTTCACCTCTGTCTTCTCCTTCTCAAGGGCAGAGCTAAACTCCTCTACACCAGTGTTCTTCAACCTTGGCAGCTTGAAGATGGGTGGACTTCAACTCCCCAAGGGCTGGCTGGGGAATTCTGGGAGTTGAAGTCCCCCCATCTTCAAGCTGCCAAGGTTGAGAAACACTGCCTTAAATGGAGGAAATGGAGTAATGA